CCGCACCTTCAACCAAAGATCTTCTGTTTTTTCAAGCCTACCTGAATGGCCAGCCTCTAGCTAATACAAAATTGATAAAATATAAGTACATCTGTGCCATCCTTTGGATAATATTCAGATAGATTACTGACACAATATTCTACTTTCTTCCATTTTAAAAAATTAAATAGGACCAATAAAAAACTTTTTCTTCAGTGCCGCTGTAACTTCAGTCAGTCACTGAAAGAATGTTTGTAACTTGAGGACTATCTATAATTATCCCTTGAGTAGGAAATCATAAGCAGCAGCATCTGCTGTTTTCAGTTTGATTTCTAGCTTCTGCCCATGTCTAACAGTTGTAGCTAGTTTATCTACTCTTTTAATGTAGCTCCAGATTCAATCCATAATATCAAATGCAACAATGTTTATTCCTCAGTAATATTTAAGAGTTGGAATATGATCACTACGGTATCATCACTTCCATTTCACCCATTTTAATGGCTAGAATAGCTGTAACACAATGCAGTCCTCCAGTTCAATAGAATTAGCGCATGTGTTTTTATAGCTGTATCTCCAATTGTTAAAAGGACAATGAGAGATAAAATGGTATCCAAATGTTCTTTCCATTACCAAAGAGTAAAGAGATAAGCAATAGATACTCATATTATTTGAAAATTTGAGATTAAATTTGCTAATTTATGTTCTTTGCGGTTCCTTTTACATCAAACTGACCTGTCGCAAAGAAGCAGCAAAAGCTTCATGAGAGCTATTTAGCCTTGTTCGGAACTGGCTGCAGATGCTCTTTGCCAATCTGGATGCACTAAGACTCTCAATGGCATCCTGAGCTATCTCCCTTTTCCACTCCCTGGTGATAGCAGGTGGGCTCACCCAAGAGATCCGTTGTATTATCTAAAGAAGAAAAAATACATATATCTTATTGTTAGAACTCAAGTATTAAAGTGCTGCTTTCATCTTAGCCAACATTAACTTTGGATCTGGGAAGCATAAATAAATTAGGATAATGGATGAGACTAGATAAATGTTATTGTTGTTGTTATATGCTGTTATATCCAACACACTTGCCATATTTTATCTCTGCATTTTTAAAATCAATTGTCTTTTATTCCAATATAAGATGCCTCTGAATCTTAATGCATAATAGAAGTAGCTATTTTCCAACTATGCAGATGGTGATATGAATTAATAGAAGACAATGTACTTAAGATAAATTTCATTAGAATGAATCAATGCTATTAAAATATTTAATACCTGCTTGATCTGTTCCCACAGCATCCGTGATACTGTTGAACCAGAGTGAAAAGTAACTTCTACGTGGTAGGCTGCATTCAATATCTGCAAACAGAAAACAATTATTTACCTGCAAATTGAAATAATTTCCACTATTTTTAAAGAACTGAATACCTTGGGAAAAGATTCATAAATAAATTGCAATAAATCGACTCTTTATGCCAAAAAGCAAACTGTTTTAGTCTGTATATGAATTCAGTCCATTCCCAATTTACCCAAGGGGCAGAACAGCCTGATTTTAAGGCAACCCCGAGGACATGTAGTTCAAAACAATATACATACATAATCTTGTACATTGCCCAACTTCCTTAATATGTCAATTAGAATTGCCACCTCCAATTGAAATCAATTCTGCAGATTAACTGCTCACCCAACTGTATTATGCTGCAAACACAGCATGCATACAAATACAATGGCAAGAGGCCACTTTTAAAAAATCAATAAGATTGATTTTACTCAATATTAACTAATTGCTCATTAAATATGATGCACTCATATGTAAAATTAATTGGTCACAATCTACACACACATGCATAATTCTTTCATACACAAATGTCCACACAGAGAAAGTCTGAAGAAATCTGGATTTGGTAAGCATCATCTATAAATACTTACTCAGCATTAGATTCCATTAAGTCTAGTGGCTCATATTCCCAGGTAAGTATGCATAGACTTACTGTTATGTGTCTATGCATACTTACATAAGCATAATATATGCTGTTATGCTGATAGAATGATTTGTATACAATGGGGTGAAAATTGAGGAAAAAATACTTAGAATATGGAGTCCCCCCCCCTTTTTTTTTTTACAAAGAGATAATAAATCGATACAGCCTTTGTGCTGGGCTTCAAGCACAAGGAAACCTGTGCATGCTTACTATATATTAAGTTTTGTTTATTTCAATGGTTGATACTTCTAAGTAAATACATGTAGGACTTCATTCCTGCTCAATCACTGTCATTCCATTCCAGATGGTGAAGTCAAGTATCTGTACTGCGAAATCTCTTATCTATGGAGGTTATCTGCAGAGTGAGGATCCTATTATCTTACTGCTTACTGTATTACACTCAGCTACAAAGACACTTTCTATGGCAAACAGATGCCACATATGAATAATCAAGGCAGTTCCATAATAGTCCCTTTTTTCCCTTGAAGGAACAACTAATCCCTTTGCCATCCTTCTGCCATTTATTCATTTTCCACAGCATAATGTTCCAATAGCATTTTCTCAGCAAAAACGGGATGAAGCCTCCCAGTGGTTATTAGGAGAAAAACTCCAATTTTCTTTGTGTGTACACACTCCTTGTTTACTATGTTCCACATTTTCTCTATGTGATCAAAGAGGCTCTTTTTTTTTCAACACTCTTCCAACAAACTTGTAAGGCAGATATTGGGATAGTGGTTGATCCACAGTCATATCCAAAGTGTTGTAGTTCAACCCAAGTTTCCCCAATCCAAATCAAATTGTTTTTGCATCACATTGCCTCTCAATCAGCTAATATTCTAGAAACAATTCTGTAAAATGATCTCAGTATTTTGTATTACTTTACCTGTTTTAAATAATTGCTTGTAATATGTACTGAAACATCCTGCTGAGATTTTTCCAGACTCTTCAGGCATCTTTCCAGAGTGCCTACAAAACTCTCTCGCAAGTAGTCCACAGAACTTATCAGTTTATTAGCTACTGCTTGGTTTAACCTTGAAATTATCAATTCCTGGATTTGCTTAATACAGCACTTAATGTCTTTAGAACTTATAGGCTCCCCATTCTCAGGAATAATTATATCTAGAAGAGATAGAGGGGGGAAATCAATATTAAAAGAAGTATAAGCAACTGCTCAAAATAAATGTAAAGTTACATTTTGTGCCTGAGTGCAATTAAATATAAATGCTAGGGTTTTAGTAACATTCTTCTATCCAACCCCATCCCACAAATTAAGCATTTTGTCCCTTGAGGTTAGTAGGAAAGCTAAGGATTTATTTAACTCTCTTAATGATAGTAGGACTAGTTTAGATACTGTAAAATCAAACTCACCTAAAAATAAGCCCTTTTAAGCTTTCTTATGGAGTTGAAATTTTCAAATCTGCACTTAAACTGTTCAGATTAATTTAGCTAGATTATTCCAATACTAGATAGTGAAATTTAAATTTAGCAACCCTGATTTCATGAACTTTGAATGTAACAAAGAAGAAACAAGATTTCCATCCAGATATTCCTCAAAAACAATGTTCATTATATTCAAAATAAGAAGGTAATAAATTTAAAACATATACGCACACACTTATTTGTGGTGGTATTCATCATTTGTATGATGTTATGCAGTATATCATTGCAATGATATACTTTTATGATTTAATAGACATTTAGGAAGAATGAACAAATGGTTCATAACTCTTAACTCTTTAAAAGTTGATTTGTTACTTACAAAACTGACTAACTTATTATTCAGTGAGGTTAATCACATCTAAGCATATTCAATGTTTTTACAATATGCCAATGAATTCAAATTTTAGTATATTTGTTGCTGAATAGTATTTGAATAAAGCTGATTGGTGGTATTTATGTACATACTGATAGTCATTAAAAGGAGATTGGAGTTAAAACAAGGCATCAAATTAATGAATTTTAAGATCAACTACTATTGATTCCAACTTTATACATGAAATTTGCTTTTTTAATAAATAAAAACATGTAATCATAGCAGAACCCCTTCAAAAGTGATAAATCACTTCAGACTGCAGTATTAAGTACAGCTATCAAAAAGTGCTTTGTTCTGAATTAAACATTAATTATATTAGAATCATTCTGCAAATTGTTTTTATGAGTTAACTTTCATAACTGTAATCATACTGCTATACTTATACGTTTTCTATTTTTAAAAGTTGGTTAACTTTTTACTGCTGTTCTCATAGCTCCTGAAAACAAAGACAGCTTTATCTTTGAATTTTTCAAAACTAAAGAAAGACCACATTTCATTTGCAGCTTTACTGCTCAGTAATTGTATTCTGCATAGATTATTTCAATAACTGCATGAAAATATTATTTCTCTCTATAGCCGTGATGGTGAACCGCTGGCACGCGTGCCACAGGTGGCATGCAGAGCCATTTGATAGGGCACCCCAGGTGTTGCCGTTAGGTTCAGTGCGCGTGTGCATGCTGGCCAGCTGACTTTGGCCTTCTTTTTCAGTCGTTTTTTACCCTCCAGAGGCTTCCCTGGTGCATCAACCGGAGGTTCGGGAATGGACTCCAGTTTGCCCATAGGGCCATTTTTCACCCTCCGGAGGCTTCAGGGTTTGTTCATAGGGCCATTTTTCGCCCTCTGGAGGGTGAAAAATGGCCCTAAGGACAAACTGGAAGTCACTGTTCCCGAACTTCCAGGCTGAGCCAAGGTGGCGCAGTGGTTAAATGCAGCACTGCAGGCTACTGCTAGATCAGCAGTTCAGCGGTTCAAATCTCACCGGCTCAGGGTTGACTCAGCCTTCCATCCTTCCGAGGTGGGTAAAATGAGGACCCAGATTGTTGGGGGCAATATGCTGACTCTCTGTAAACCGCTTAGAGAGGACTGAAAGCCCTATGAAGCGGTATATAAGTCTACTGCTATTGCTATTGCTTCTACAGCTGCTTTTTGGCCTTCCAGAGGCTTCAGGGAAGCTCCTGAAGCTTCCGGGGGGAGGGAGGCTTTTGTTTCCCTCCCCAAGCTCCTAGAAAAGCCTCTGGAGCCTGGGAAGGGTGAAAAAAGCTCACCCAAAGTGGGGGGGAGTGCTGGTCGTGCGCTCATGCTCACTGGGGTCATGCGCTCATGCACGCTGGGGTTGTGCATGCATGTTGGGGTCATGAGCATAGTATGGGTGTGGGTATGCCCATGCACAACCCCGCTGTGCTCCCCTTGCTTTTGCAACACGATCCAAAAAAGGTGAGCCATCACTGCTCTACAGCATGTTGATTTTCATATAGTTAAAATTATATATATGTAAAAGAACCTTGTAATGGAGTTTAAGAAGCACAGATAAACATATATCTGGTTCTTAAGTAGTTGTTACACCTCCTCCCTTCCAAATAGCAGATTTGAGAAATGAACAGAATGTAATTCCTGGGGAAAAATTGTCTACCATCTTTTGGATCTTCTTAATTCTTGCATATTTTGCTACTCAATGTTATTAGAACTTCCTGTCTTGCCAATATAGAAAAGGAGTCTGACCACACTGAAATATTGTTATTATTTCATAACATCATCAAACATGTGATGTGCCCCTTAGATAATGCCCCTGGATACGCTATCTTTTATTGCAATAACTGCAACTAAATGCTTTCTATAAGTGAAAAGTCTGACTCACTCCTCCTTTGTAAACTGCTTCAGCTTTTCTAAAACTAGATAAACTTGGCATGGGGCCAGGTTATTTGAGGGACCCTATCTGATGAATCATATCTACTCATCCCATCAGGTTTGGTAAAGAAAGTCTCATCCACTAAGGAATATGTAACAAACCAAAGAAGAGAGTCTTTGGACCATTTCCCCAAGAACAGATTGGTCTTGACCTTGCTGCCCTTCCAAAGGGCATGAAAACATACCTTTGCCATCTGGAATGGATATCCTGTAATGTCAGTATGGAACGTGCAAAGTGCAAATTGAGTGGGCTCCCTTGCAGATTCTGTTTTTAATAGTTTTTATTGATTTTTAATTACATTTGTTTTGATTTGGGTTATTTTGGGGTATAATTTTTGTATTTTTACCTGTATGTGAAACGAGCAGCTATATAGATTTATCAGATAAATAAGTATTAAATAAACTAGTCACTTCAGGTCCCATGACAACATTTCCTTGGGGTTTAAACTAAACTTTGATTTGGCCATTTCAAAACTCTGAATGTATTGTTCATCCATTCCCTCATCAAGCTGCTTGTATGTTTATTACTGTTTTTGTGACATAACCCACAACTTCCCCTGACAGACAGCTGGCCTGATATTCTCTGGTTTAATTCTGCTACAAAGTAGAATTCATTCTTCCTTCAAAGATAGCATGTCATCAAATCCTGAAGGCATTCCTTCTACAGCCCACTCTAAAAAAGTCTGATATGTCATCTAGATACATATAGGCAAACTTTGGATAATTATTGATGTTTTTCTTAATGACCACTATTATGCTATTTTTCCCTGAATCCAACTTTTACCCTATATTTTATGATGATGGAATTATGATTTTTTTTTTTGCCAGGTCTAAAGAGGGAAGCCTATAGATCCCAGAATATTGTTCTGAGGTTCCTTGAGACTTGTGATTTAAAATGATTTCACTAGAACAACCATTCAGTATTACCTCAAATCTTTTTTCCATTTCATGACTGTTTATGGATCAGTAGAATGCCTCAAGACTTTGGAAAAATTTCAAAATCTGTTTCTTATTCTGAAAAGGGTATAACATGCCTCTACTGTATGGGTGACAGCCAAAGTTTGTGAGATTTATATAAGTCAAGGCTGGTCCTAATTATCCTTTAATTTAATTGATTGTCCTAGGAGGGTAATTACTTGCACACACACATGCAAGAAGGAGGACCCTTATGAAGTTGTATAACATTCAAATGTACAATATTTCATAAAATACTTTTACAGAAAACTGTTAACTTAGCTGGAAAGTTGTATCTCTTTCAGTCACAGACAGCCAACAAACTAGTCATTCCCCAATATGCACTCTTCGGACATATAGGTTTCAGCTCCCAGAAATATTTATACTACCTGGAGAGTATCCAGCTGGAGAAAACTACATTAATAAATTACTCATATTGATCCAATGTGTATGAAATTTCCACCAATTTTGTTTCAATCCTGATGCCTTGACAGGTAAGCATTTAAAAGAAAAAGATATGAACATTTTTACATGGACAAACATGGGAATCTAAGTCGGAGGTTTTCCAGAATCAATATAAAATGCAAAATAGAATTCTCTTTGTAGGTCATAATTTTTTATGGTATGACTTTCTTTACCTTTGAATTCCATATTAGCAGCATCTTCCAGCAGCTCTTCTTTCATGTTATTGAGGGTTTCAATTATCATTTCTTTCATTTCTTCTTGTTTGCGGTTGGCTATACCCATCAGAGATTCATACAGCTCATTCTCTTTCTTCCGCGTATACTCTAAACGCTTTGGAGTGATTTGCAGGTCTCGTTGCATATCAAAGGCTTGGTTGATGAAAATGTCTAAGCAACGGTAGTGTACAATGTTCAAAATGGTAGCAGCATCTACCAAGCGCTGTTGTAGTACTTGTTTGGAGAAAGTGCTAAGCAGACGAATCTTATCAGATTGTTCTACCAACATGCTTTGGGCTTTGGCATCAGTGCTAGGAGCTCCACAACTGCAATGGTTGCTACTAAGATAATCTAAATCTAGCAGTTGCCGAAAAAGGGATGACTTTTCAGTTTCCACATTTTGAGGAGATATTAGTTCAGATCCCAAATTTAATACTTTGAAAAAGAAGATGGGTAAAGCAAACTTTTCTTTAATTTCTTGCAACTCGTTCATGTCCAGTGTTGAAAGTTCAGCCTCACTGATGGCAAAAGTGATGACTGGAAGAACGCTGTTGATGTATTCTCCCAAAGTGTCTTCAGCTGACTGGAATCCCCGACATGGAGCTATCACAATATCCATTTCCTGAAGATAGCAAAGCATTAAAAATTTAACATTAAGGGTTGATTTGAGCTTTGCATCCAGCACTCCCTCCCTTCCACATCCATAGCAAGACATGTATCTCTCCTGCTTTAAGGGGAATCTGAGAAAATTAAACATAATAACACTCTTTAAGAACAATGAAAGTCCTAATTTTGTATAAGCAAAGACAGTCCTCCCTCATTTTTTCCTTTAACTCAACATATATATATCCATATCCATATCCATATATATATATGTGTGTGTGTGTGTATGTATGTATGTATGTATGTATATACATATATATATATGTACATACATACATACATATATATATGTGTGTGTGTGTGTGTGTGTGTGTGTGTGTATATATATATATATATATA